TATCCTCCCATCTTTCCACCCATTATCCATCTATCCATCCATTCATCTATCATCCATTTGTCTATCTATTAGTCACCTATTGTCCACCCATCCAACCATCCAACCAACCTCATCTATCCTCCTATCTTTTCACCCGTTATCCATCCATCCATCATTTATCTATTTATCCATCCATTCCTCCATCCGCCCATTCATCATCTATCCATCCGTCATACATTCAAACATTCATTGATCCATTTATTGGTTTATCCATTCATCAACTATAAATCACCCATCCATCTATCATCCATCTGTCTATCAACCATCCATTAGCCATCCTCCCACCACCCATCCATCTAGCATCTATCTAATATCCAGCCATCCATCCCCATCCATCCTTCCATCTATCCAGCCATTATCCACCTATCAGTCTATTCACCCAACCATCATCCATCCATCTATCATCCATCCCTCTATCAGTCATCCATCAACCACCCATTTATTCATCAGTTCATCCATCCATCAACCAGCCTTCACCCATCCATGAATCATCCATCTGTCTCTCTATCAGCCATCCATTAGCCATCATCCCACCTATCCACCCATTATCCATCTATCTATCCATCCATTCATTCATCCAACCATCATCCATCCATCTATCATCCATCTCTCCCATCATCATCCATCCATCCATCTATTCATCAGTTCATCCATCCATCAACCATCCTTCACCCATTCATCTATCATCCATTCGTCTATCAGCCATCCATTAGCCATCCTCCTACCATCCATGTATCTAGCATCTATCTATTATTCATCCATCCATCCTCATCCATCCTCCCACCTATCCACCCATTCTCCATCTATCTATCCATCCATCCATTCATCCAACCATCATCCATCCATCCATCCATCCATCCACCCATCCATCTATTCATCAGTTCATCCATCCATTAACCATCCTTCACCCATCCATCTATCATCCATCCGATGGGTCTATCATCCATCCATTAGCCATCCTCCCATCATCCATCCATCTAGCATCTATCTATTATTCATCCATCCATTCTCATCCATCCTCCCACCTATCCACCCATTATCCATCTATCTATCCATCCATTCATCCAAACATCATCCATCCATCTATCATCCATCTCTCTGTCAGTCTATCAATCATGCATCCATCCATACATCTATTCATCAGTTCATCTTTCCATTAACCATCCGTCTGGCTATCATCCATCCATTAGGCATCCTCCCATTATCCATCCATCCTCCCACCTATCCACGCATTATCCATTTATCTATCCATCCATCCATCCATTCACCCAACCATCATCCATCCATCTATCATCCATCTCTCTGTCAATCAATCATCCATCATTAATCCATCCATCCATCCATCCATCTATTCATCAGTTCATCCATCCATTAACCATCCTTCACCCATCCATCTATCATCCATCCGTCTGTCTATCAGCCATCCATTAGCCATCCTCCCATCATCCATCCATCTAGCATCTATCTATTATTCATCCATCCATCCTCATCCATCCTCCCATTATTCATCTATCCATCCATTCATCCAACCACCATCCATCCATCTATCATTCATCTCTCTATCAGTCATCTATCATCTATCTATCAACCATCCTTCACCCATTTAATTAATTAATTATATTTATATACCATCCCTCTCAGCCTGAAGGTGATTTGGGGTGGCTTACAGTCTATCATCCATCTGTCTATCAGCCATCCATTAGCCATCCATCCATCTAGCATCTAGCTTTTATCTATCCATCTCCATCCATCCATCAATCCTCCCATCATCCATCTAGCATCTATTATCCATCCTCCCATCTATCCACCCATTATTCATCGATTCATCCATTCATCCATTCATCCAACCATCATCCATCCATCTATCATCCATCTCTCTGTCAATCAGTCATCCATTATCCATCCATCCATCCATCCATCCATCCATCTATATACCTGTAATCCAGAGCTTTCCAAACATTTCATGTGGGTGACACACTTTGTAGACAGACAGGCATCATTTCGCAACACACTCATTCAGTTTTACTAGCAAACCAGAGGCTAAACCAGCTCCTTATAAGAGATACGGACACAGAAATTAATTAGGTTGTTGTAGGTTTTTTGGGCTATATGGCCATCTTCTAGAAGCATTCTCTCCTGACGTTTCGCCTGCATCTATGGTAGGCATCCTCAGAGGTTGTGAGGTCTGTTGGAACTAGGAACTAGGAAATTATATATCTGTGAAAAGTCCAGGGTGTGAGAAAGAACTCTTGTCTGTTGGAGCTAGGTGTGAATGTTTCAGTTGGCCACTTTGATTAGCAATGCCTGCCATAGATGCAGGTGAAACGTCAGGAGAGAATGCTTCTAGAACATAGCCATATAGCCTGAAAAACCTACAACAACCCAGTAATTCCAGTCATAGAAACCTTCAACAATACAGAAATAAATTGTAATAATGAGATGTATGGAGGCACAACATAGCTCATGAAAACCTTTCAATGATATATTTTTAAAAGGAGATGATTTATTGTTCATTTTGCATAGACTCTGGGGTTTCTCAGTGTGTTCACGTAACAGGTACACTGCAGCAGATACACCAACATGCCACGACACACAGCTTTGCTCCACATCAGGTATGAGTAAACTTGGGCCCTCCAAGTGTTTTAGACTCTAACTCCCAGCATTCATAACAGCTCCAGGCCCCTTCCTTTTCCCCCGCAGAGAGCTTCATCTATGCTGATGATCGTGCCATTACTTCTAAAGCAGGGAGCTTTGAGATGGTTTAACAGAAGCTCTCTGAAGCTCTAGGTGCTCTTACTGCCTATTACAGGGAAAACCAGCTGATCCCTAATCCATCTAAAACACAGACATGTGCCTTTCACCTTAAGAACAGAGAAGCATCCCGAGCTCTGAGGATTACCTGGGAAGGAATCCCACTGGAGCATTGCAGCGCACCCAAATACCTGGGAGTCACTCTGGACCGTGCTCTTACCTACAAGAAGCACTGCCTGAACATCAAGCAAAAAGTGGGTGCTAGAAACAATATCATACGAAAGCTGACTGGCACAACCTGGGGATCACAACCAGATACAGTGAAGACATCTGCCCTTGCGCTATGCTACTCTGCTGCTGAGTATGCATGCCCAGTGTGGAACACATCACCACACTAAAACAGTAGATGTGGCTCTTAATGAGACATGTCGCATTATCACGGGGTGTCTGCGCCCTACACCACTGGAGAAATTACACTGCTTAGCTGGTATTGCACCACCTGACATCCGCCGGGAAGTAGCAGCCAATAGTGAAAGGACCAAGGCAGAGACATCTCCAGCTCATCCCTTGTTTGGGTATCAGCCAGCACGTCAACGACTTAAATGAAATAGTTTTCTTAGATCTACAGAGACACTCGCTGGAACACCTCAGCAAGCGAGAGTCCAAAAGTGGCAGGCTCAAACCCAGCACCTCAATCCGTGGGTGATACCAGATGAGAGACTCCCCCCTGGGCACACAGAAGACTGGGCGACTTGGAAGGCGCTGAACAGACTGCGCTCTGGCACCATGAGATGCAGATCCAATCTTAAGAAATGGGGCCACAAAGTGGAATCCACGACATGCGAGTGTGGAGAAGAGAAATCCATTGACCACCTGCTGCAATGCAACCTGAGCCCTGCCACATGCACAATGGAGGACCTTCTTGCGGCAACACCAGAGGCACTCCAAGTGGCCAGATACTGGTCAAAGGACATTTAATCAGCTACCAAGTTTGCAAAATTTGTGTGTGTGTTTTTTTATCTGTTTGTTTGTTTTGTTTTGTTAGAAATATAATACAATGTTCTGGTTGCGGATGACACGATAAATAAATATCCCCCGCAGCTGCTTAAGCCTTTGTTTACATTCAGAAGTACAATCCCGGATGAAGCCCCATTTTTCACTTAAGCGGTTGAGGGTGGGGGGGGGGAGGAAAGGGCATGAGGCTGTTAGGAATGGTGGGAGTTGAAGTCCAAAACACCTGGAGGGCCCAAGTTTGCCCAGGCCTGCCCTACATCCTTCAAAAGAGCCATCCATGGTGCTGAACCGCCCCTCTCAAGGAGGTTCAACACTGTGGATACATCCTTCGAAATGCAGACTGTTGACATGGAAGCCATCTTTAACTGTGCCAGATAACTTCAAGGACCCATCTGCACTGCACGTTTTGTTGCCGCTTGGTACCACTTTGAGATGGTTCCATCCTATCACACCCGAGATATGGAGCATGTGCAGAGTGCCTCCCCTTGTTATAGAGCAGGAATTTAGGGGTCTTTGCCAGGAGGCAGAGACCAATCAGACTAATTAAATTACGCTGGCGAGACGGAGAGAAGCACCCAATCCCAGATTTTTCCCACTAAAAGGTCTCACCAAGTGGAAGGAAGTGCCACCGAGGTGTTTTATTTGCGATTCAACTAAAAAGGATGCAGAGCTGCAATCATTCGCCAAGCAGAGCACGTGGTTACAGTAATAAAGGCCATTTTATAGAAAATACAGAGTTGTGAGTTTCAAAATTCCCACTCCCCCCTCCCGCCCAGCTCGAAGGGGATTGGCTGACGCGCAAACAGCTGGGAGGAGGCTTGGCCGTCCCCCATGCATCGGGGCCAATTGCAGGGCTTTTGCGGGGCGCCAGAGCCTATCAGGAGGCTCCTGCTATCTTGACGCTCCAGCGAATCAGAAGGGAGGGAGGCGGGATGAAGGGAGACAATGCATTCTGGAGTGGATTATGGAGTTTTAATGTCCTTAGGCTTATCGAGGTTGGGGATCGGCCGGCCAGAGTGTCCTTGCCCTTAGCAAACTATAAGTTACTATCTCTAATGGGCGGGGGGGGGGATGTTCGACTTCACCCTGAAAGGGACTAGCTTCTCCACTGAACTCTTTTCCCTCTCCTCTCTCATAGCCAGCCGTCCTTGTGCCCCCCGTTTTTTCGGCACCAAGGCCATGGTCTGCGTCTGCAATGCCACCTACTGTGACACAATGGACCCCGTCTCCATCCCCGATGTTGGCAGCTTTGTCAAATATGAGAGCACCAGGGCTGGGGGGCGTTTGGAGCGCAGCGAAGGGGTGATCCATCCAAGCACCTCTGGTTCAGGTAAGCCCCTGGGATGGGGATTTGGAGGGTGGGGGTGGAAGGTAAGCCTCTGCAAGAGGGATAGGCAACTCTAGCTTTCTGAGCCCTTGGACTTTCCTTCCTTACGGCACCATGTCTGGTGGCTTCCCAACTAGAAGGTTGCAGAAATAATCCAAATGCAGTGAATAACCAAAAGCCTTCAACAGAAAACCATGAACAGACTAGCCACTGCTAATCCACTTGAAAAGCTAGATATATCCTTAGAGAGACTTGAGCTTGATTCCAAATGATGCCTGATCTGAAGAAGATTCTCTAAGGACCCAATTTAAGTCCCAAAACTGGTTTCTACTCCCCCCAGTTTTTGGCCTTAACTGCCGAATTCTTTCTGACCTGCGTAAACATTGGGCCTCTCGAGGGTTCTGGCTGATTTCCAGACGGCGACTGGTCTGGAAACAGGACTATCTCCTCATTAACTCCACCAGGTGTCGAGCTATCTTGCAAACTCAAGTCTGGAGAAGGGAGTAAACTTTCTTCCCTTGCTCTGACAGAAACATTCTCATGAGAACTTAGCCTTTCCCCTGACGCCTCTTGATCAGTGTCTGTAGTAACATTACTGTCCAAAGTGTCTCCATTTTGCACCTCATCCTCATTGATCACATCAGGCCCAGAAACATTAGGAGGGGGAAACACAATCACCAATTCAGGCTCAAACACTGGCTGAGTCTCAACAGAGTTTTCCTTGAGAGCCTTCCATATCACTTAGCTCTTCATCCAATTCCTTATCTAGTGTTGCAGTTTCTGGCCCCTCTGACTGACCTTGAAACCCTGCACTTTCTGAGACAGGTTTTCCCCAGAGAGAACCATCATTTTGTTAGAGACCCTAAATTGGGTCTTCTTAGGTCCACATCATGGGAGCACGTAAGGAAGGAGACAGCCTCCCCCCCAAAAAAAAGGATCAAAAATAAGGTTTATTTTAGTTTCTTCATGAAGAAGACAGACAGCCTGGCAGCATATGCAGATGCTACCCTTCAAGTGACTGCTGCGCCCCTCCTCTGTTTCTGCTGACCTTTATACTCAAGTAGTAGGTCATGGAAAGTACTCTCTTTCCAGTCCCCCTCCCTTCACCTTTGGATGGAAAGTACCTTCTTGTACCTGCAGACTCTTCGCTTAACCACAACCTTTGGTTTAACCACAACACAACTTCTTATGTGAGTTTGAACTTTGTATGACCTCTACATGTCACATCTTGTTTCTTAAAAACATTTTCTTCCATGTTGCTCCTTTTCTACAGAGAAAGGGTATATTTCTCTTTTGCTGTTAATTTCATTCAAAGCCCCTTGCTTAGCATTTGCAAATTTCGCTCAAAGACCCTTTCAATTTCTCTGACTTGAATCTTCATCACTTTGTGCCCCGGGGAGACCTACAGGAAACCCCACAATCCTCTCTAAATAATCAGTGAACCCATCAGCCTCATTTAGCCAAAAAAATTGAACATTAATTTTGAGCAAATAGGAATGTCATATCGAGGAGGCTTGTTTTCTGCTGCTCCAACGACTAGAACACAATGGATTCAAATTGCAAGAAAAGAGATTCTACCTAAACATTAGAAAGAACATCCCAATGCTACCTGGGAGTCTGGTGGACTCTTCTTTTCTGAAGCAGAGGCTGGGTGGCCACCTGTCAGGAGGGTTTTGATTGTGTCTTCCTCAATAGTAGAGGATTAAACTGCATGGCCCTTGGTCACCTATATTGTTATAGAGCAGGAATTTAGGGGTCTTTGCCAGGAGGCAGAGACCAATCAGACTCATCAAAGAGTTCACTACCCTGGCGAGACAGAGAGAAGCATCCAATCCCTGATTTTTCCCAATAAAAGGTCTCACCAAGTGGAAGGAAGTGCCACCGAGGTTTATTAGTGATTCAGCTGAAAAGGATGCAGATCAGCAATCATTTGCCAAGCAGAGCATGTGGTTACAGAAATAAAGGCCATTTTTATAGAAAATACAGAGTTGTGAGTTTCAAAATTCCCACTCCCCCCTCCCGCCCAGCTCGAAGGGGATTGGCTGACACGCAAACAGCTGGGAGGAGGCTTGGCCGTCCCCCATGCATCAGGGCCAATCACAGGGCTTTCGCGGTGCACCAGAGCCAATCAGGAAACTCCTGCTGCCTCGACACTCCAGCGAATCAGAGGGGAGGGAGGCGGGATGAAGGGAGACAATGCATTCTGGAGTGGATTATGGAGTTTTAATGTCCTTAGGCTTATCGAGTCCGGGGATCGGCCTGCCAGAGAAGCCACTTTATTGTCCTGAGATGGGTCTGTGATAAGCATTGATGACTTAATGCGGGTTTTCCTCTTACAATCAGATAGGGCACAAAGGGGAAACTTTTGTGAATGTCCTTAGTGGAAAGATTTGAAAGAAAAACGGCTTGGAGGAAAAGAGAACTTTCCTAAGGTCACATTCCCCCCATTGTTATATGATTAAAAAGTCTGCCAAACGGAAATCCTAATGGTGGCCCAACTCCGTAGTCAAAAGGATTTCCTTGATTATTGTCCATGCAAAGAATGTCCAAAGATAAGGGTCTTTTCATGATCGCTGATTGCTTTTCCAGAGGCAGGGCAGCTTCCTTGTAGATTTCCCCCAAGGAGAGGGGAAGGGGGCAAAAGGGTCAGGGCAAAAGGGTGAGTCCCCTCTGGGGTGAGAAGGGCGGGGTAGAAGTAACCGAAATAATAATAAATAAGGGCAAGATCAAATACATGAAGGGAAATATAGAAATACAGGAGAAAATATGAAAGTATAGAAATCATTACACAGAGAGTAAACCCAACTACATTCCCCCAGTGTCCATAGTTCATGTTATTCATAGGAAGGTCCATAAAAGGGAAATATCTCCATGAGGGGGAAAGAGAGTCCCTTGTTTGTGAGATGGGGGACCATCAGGAGCTCAGGTGTGTCTCAGATGGAAAAATTCAAATACTTTTGTGGCACGATTTTCAGTAATAAATTGGTTACCTTTTGCTGTAAACATATGAAAATAAGGTATAAAGCCTTGATTAAATGAAACACACCTAACTGACCAAGGCTTAACCCTTATTATCCAGCCTTGCCCTTAGCAAAACTATAAGTTACTATCGCTTATTGGGGGGGGGGGGGGGTCATGATTCTATGAACTTTTTAATGGGGTTTTCCCCCACTTGAAAAGCCAAGATTCCTTTCCAAAGACTGAAATAGTGCTGGGGTTTATAGTCTCACCCTTTTTATAATCCCATTCATTCCTGGAAAGACACACTCAAGAACTTGACAGACATTGAATAGCTCGGTGTTCCCTCAAATCTAACCAGCTTCTTCTCTCCTGCCCTCCTTCAAAGGCTTGCAATATACGTACAACCCTTTTGTACACTACCAGCGCATCAAAGGTTTTGGCGGGTCCCTCACTGACGCTGCTGCGATCAACATCAAGCGCTTGTCTACGGAAGCCCAGGACCACTTGCTCCGCTCTTACTTCTCTGAAGAAGGTAAGAGTGATAGCTTTTACCTTGCAGCTGTCAAAAGTGTGTCTGGCCAAATGGTCTACCAATAAAACTCTAGCACCAACATATACAGATGTCTAAAGCACTGTATATCATTCTGTATCCCTTAATACCACAACTGGATGCCTCCATTGTGACATTTATGTCACAAGTGTCTGTATATAAAATAAGGATTTTATCTCCCTGATCAGGTGCCCCATCCCACAGTCATCTTCCTTTGAGTGTATCGGCATTAGGATTGGTGACCGGGACAGGATAGGGATTCTGTTAGTGTACCAACCACCCCACTGCACGACAGTCTCCCTACCTGAGCTAGCAGGAGTGGTCTCGGACTTGGCTTTGAATTCTCAATGGCTTTTAGTCCTGGGAGATTTCAATGTTCATGCCGAGCCCCTCCCCCCCCCCCCATTAGGTGCAACTCAGGACTTCATGGCTTCCATGACAACCATGGGCCTGTCCCAATTAGTATCTGGTCCCACCCTTAGTGCCAGGCACACAATGGATATGGTTTTTTTGTCAGGGATGTGATGAAGGTGGCGGGGTGGAGGAGCTGACCATTGCTCCATTGCCATGGACCGATCACCACCTGATCAGGTTTAGACTCACTGTGCCTCTTACCCTCCGCAGGGGTGGTGGACCCATTAGAACGGTCCGCCCCAGGAGACTTATGGTATAAGTGCTCGAAATAAATAAATCAATAAATAAATAAATAAATAAATAATATTTCACTCCATATCCCATAACTCAACAGTTGCATGCTTCTTGGGAGCCATGGTGGTGCAATGGATTCATAGTTTTTTTATTTATTTATTTATTTATTTACAGTTCTTATATTCCGCCCTTCTCACCCCGCAGGGGACTCAGGGCGGATTACAGTAAACACATATATGGCAAACATTCAATGCCAGTTTGACAAACAACATTTAACAGACAAAGGCTATTTAACTTTTTTTCTGGCCGCCAGGGGAGCTGCTGCTTTTCATCGTCCATCAACGACACCGATGAAGTTCTTCCGCATTCCACATTCCCCGGAGTCTTCTTTCTTTATGGCCTCATAAATTAGTTAAATTTAGCCTCCCACACAAGGTGGTACCTTATTTTCCTACTTGACAGATGCAACTGTCTTTCGGGTTGCAAAGGTCGACAACGGGCTACACAATGGCTGGACACCCACTCCAGCCCGGGCTGGCTTCGAACTCATGACCTTTTGGTCAGAGTGATCTTAATGCAGCTGACACTCAGCCAGCTGCGCCACAATCCCGGTGCCGTATTAACCCCTTGTACTGCTGAACTGCTGGCCTGAAGGTCGGCAGTTTGAATCCGCAAGATGGGGTGAGCTCCTGTCTGTCAGCTCTAGTTCCTACCAACCTAGCAGTTCAAAAACACAATGTGAGTAGATACAGGTACTGCTTCAGCAGGAAAAGGCAAAAGACACTCCAAGCACACACCCAGGAGGTGACAACACAGGCTCCTCAGCTTGAAAATGGAGAAAGCACCACCCCAGAGCCAGAGATGAGCACTGTCTTCAGAAGCCAGAAATAAAAGGAGAAGCCTTTGCTTGTGTTTGTGTGTCTCATTGTATATGATTGTAAAGGCATTGAATGTTCGCTTATGTATGTTAAGTGCTGTAATCCACTCTGAGTTCCCTAGGGGAGAAGTGTGGCATATAAATAGTGTATTGTTGTTGTTGTTGTTATTGTTATTATTGTTATTGTTATTATTATTATTATTATTATTATTATTATTATTATTATTATTATTGGGTTGTTGTAGGTTTTTTCGGGCTATATGGCCATGGTCTAGAGGCATTCTCTCCTGACGTTTCGCCTGCATCTATGGCAAGCATCCTCAGAGGTAGTGAGGATGCTTGCCACAGATGCAGGCGAAACATCAGGAGAGAATGCCTCTAGACCATGGCCATATAGCCCGAAAAAACCTACAACAACCTAGTGATTCCGGCCATGAAAGCCTTCGACAATACATTATTATTATTAGAAACACAACAAGATGAGTCCAGAGCAGAATTGGATCACACGTCGGACACTTCCCAAGTGTCTAGGACTGTGTGATGTATCGGCGAATGATGCGAGCAGATCCCAGTAAGGTGGCCTTTTGCAGCTGGCAGATGGTAATTTTGTCAGCGCTGATTGTGCGTAAGTGCAAGCCAAGGTCTTTAGGCACTGCACCCAGTGTGCCGATCACCACTGGGATCACCTTTACCAGAGTCTTGTGCAGAGTCTTGTGCCAGAGTCTTTGCAGTTCGATCTTTAAATCCTCATATCGTGTCAGATTATTATTATTATTATTATTATTATTATTATTATTATTATTCTATGGAGGTTGGATGGCGATCTGTCAGGATGGTTTTGTCTGTGTTCATGCATGGTAGGGAGTTGGACTGGATGGTCCTTGGGGTCTCTGCCAACTCTATGATTCTATCCATGGTGACATTTATATCACTATATATCCAATAACACAATAGTAGCTGCCATACATCAGAAATGACTTAGAGGCACATAACAACTGTATATCCCTAACCTTTTTGCTTCCCCCTGTATTTACAGGGATTGAGTACAACCTTTTGCGCCTGCCCATGGCATGCTCTGACTTCTCCACGCGAGCGTACAGTTACGCAGACCAGTGTGTGAATGACTACAACTTGAAGTGCTTCAGTCTGGCTTATGAAGACACTGAACTGAGGGTGAGTGATGCCAAGAGGAAAGAGACCTTCTCTCTGGCTCTCTTGTGGATTTCTTGCTTTCATGTCTGGATATGCTGCTGTATCCCTTTGTTATCAAATGGCCCCAAAACCTCCAGGCAAGGAGATCGTTCAACAGGTTTATTTGAGCAAATCACCCTGCTGGGTGAACAAGAAAAGTGCTGCACAAGACTGAGATGCAGCTCAGAATTATCATCAATATTGTGAGCATGTGCAAAGGCTTTTTTCTCCAATTCGTGCCTCCTCTCTATCGCTTCCTTTTGTTCTCTTATGGCACCTGCTCTTGGCAGTATTCCTGTGCCCACTTTTCCTCAGTAGCCGATTCCCCCTCCTGTACCTGCTTATAACTAGGCATTTCACTTTTGAACTTTCCCCTTGTCTGAACTCTCTGCTTTGACTGGTAATTTTCCACTCCAGGCCCCTTTGGTAAAATGTTGCCATTATCTTTTGGAAAATGTGAATCTCCATAACCATTTTGGAAATGGGATTCATAATCTTTTTGGACAATCACTGGTCAAGGAAAGGCATGACCCTGTTAGAAGTCACAACCTTTTTCCAGTACTCATGCAAGGCAACTAGGTCTCTCAGCTGTTAAACTGATGTACCTAGATATACCTTCTCTGGTTTAAAACTGGCTTCTCTGGCTTTAAAACTGGCTTCTCTGACTTGAGCCGAGGCCAGGAAATTCCTTCCTTCTCTGGCTTTAAAACTGGCTTCTCTGGCTTGAGCTGAGGCCAGGAAATTCCTTCCTTCTCTGGTTTAAAACTCGCTTCTCTGGCTTTAAAACTGGATTCCAGGAAATTACTTCATTCTCTGGCTTTAAAACTGGCTTCTCTGACTTGAGCCAACGCCAGGAAATTCCTTCCTTCTCTGGTTTAAAACTGGCTTCTCTGGCTTTAAAACTGGCTTCTCTGACTTGAGCCGAGGCCAGGAAATTACTTCATTCTCTGGCTTTAAAACTGGCTTCTCTGACTTGAGCCAACGCCAGGAAATTCCTTCCTTCTCTGGTTTAAAACTGGCTTCTCTGGCTTTAGAACTGGCTTCTCTGACTTGAGCCGAGGCCAGGAAATTCCTTCCTTCTCTGGCTTAAAACTGGCTTCTCTGGCTTTAAAACTGGCTTCTCTGACTTGAGCTGAGACCAGGAAATTCCTTCCTTCTCTGGCTTAAAACTGGCTTCTCTGGCTTGAGCCAAGGCCAGGAAATTCCTTCCTTCTCTGGCTTAAAACTGGCTTCTCTGGCTTTAAAACTGGCTTCTCTGGCTTGAGCTGAGACCAGGAAATTCCTTCCTTCTCTGGTTTAAAACTGGCTTCTCTGGCTTTAAAACTGGCTTCTCTGACTTGAGCTGAGACCAGGAAATACCTTCCTTCTCTGGCTTAAAACTGGCTTCTCTGGCTTTAAAACTGGCTTCTCTGACTTGAGCTGAGACCAAGAAATTCCTCCCTTTTCTGGCTTAAAACTGGCTTCTCTGGCTTTAAAACTGGCTTCTCTAGCTTGAGCTGAGGCTAGGAAATTCCTTCCTTCTCTGGCTTAAAACTGGCTTCTCTAGCTTGAGCTGAGGCTAGGAAATTCCTTCCTTCTCTGGCTTAAAACTGTCTTCTCTGGCTTGAGCTGAGGCTAGGAAATTCCTTCCTTCTCTGGCTTAAAACTGTCTTCTCTGGCTTGAGCTGAGGCTAGGAAATTCCTTCCTTCTCTGGCTTAAAACTGGCTTCTCTAGCTTGAGCTGTGGCCAGGGACCAGAAGCAGGGAAAAGCTGAATCATTTCCGACTCACTTCATGAGTCATAACAAAAATGGTGGAGAAAGCTTCGGAAGAGCATACAGACTTCCGGTTTTCTTAAAAACTTCAAAATTGCTTCAAAAAGGTAATTTTTCCGACTTTTTTCCAAACTACGAAGATTCCGACGGTACCTAACTATGCCTAGTAAGCAATTATATAAGTAACAAATAACTAGTGGAGGCTTGAAAAGGTTGCTATTTTCAACAGTCCCTTCATTCATATCGATGGGATGGCCAACTAGTAATGGTTTTGGGTGGGTAGATGAAATACGCTCATGCCTCTGGAATTGGGATCCATTTACTGAGCTCTCTTTGTAGATCCCGCTCCTCCACCGCTTCATGGCCACTGCGAAGCGGCACCTCTCCCTCATTGGCAGTCCATGGAGCGCTCCCGGCTGGCTGAGGACCAATAACCAAGTGATGGGCAAAGCGCGCCTGAAGGGAGAGCCAGGCGATATCCACCACAAGACCTGGGCCCGCTATTTTGTCAGGTATCAATCTCTTTGTTAGGGAATCAATTCCCAGTTGTCCAAACCATTGATAATATGTTAAATGTCAACTGAGTTGAAGGCAGAACATGATTGGGCCGGGGGACTCGTCTGCTACCATTTGGAGAAGGAAATTGTTATTGTATAATTACTAGGGAATAGGATCTTGATAGTGTAAAAATAACTAGTTCTGGCCGTGGTGGCACAACGGGTTAAACCGCTGAGCTGCTGAATTTGTTGACCGGAAGTTTGGCAGTTTGAATCCATGGGACAGGGTGAGCTCCCGCTGTTAGCACCGGCTCCTGCCAATCGAACAGTTTGAAAACATGCACATGTGAGTAGATCAATAGGTAACGCTTTTGCGGGAAGGTAGCGATGCTCCATGCAATCATGGCGGCCACATGACCTAGGAGGTGTCTACAGGCAACGCAGGCTCTTTGGAGTTTTGGAGTATGGAGTTTTGGAGTTCGGCGCCATCTGTACGCAGATGACACCCAACTCTACTACTCCTTTCCTCCTAATTCCAAGGAAGTCTCCCGTGCTCTAAACCAGTGTCTGGCAGCTGTGATGGATTGGATAAGGGCTAACAAGTTGACACTCAATCCAGACAAGACAGAGGTCCTCCTGGTCAGTCGGGTGGGTGGCAACCTGTGCACCCCCCCTGAGGATACAGGTCCATAGCTTGGGGGTCCTCCTGGACTTGACACTGTCACTTGAAGCTCAGGTGTCGGCGGTGGCTGGGAGGGCCTTTGCACAATTAAAACTTGTGCACCAGCTGCAACCATACCTCATGTAGTCTAACTTGGCCAGGGTGGTCCATGCCTTGGTTACATCCAGATTGGACTTCTGCAATGCACTCAACATGGGGCTGCCCTTGAAGACGGCCCAGAAATTCCAACTAGTACAACATGCGGCAGCCAGGCTCCTAATCAGAGCTAACTATAGGGAGCGTACAATGCCCCTATTGAAACAGCTCCACTGGCTGCCAAAAAGTTGCCAAGCCAAATTCAAGGTGCAGGTGGTGAACTATAAAGCCCTAAGCGGTTCGGGCTCCGCCTATCTCCATGATCGCATCTCCCTCTGAACCGGCGTGGACTCTAAGATCCACCGGGGAGGCCCTCGTCTCACTCCCACCATCAGGGAGGCCCTCGTCTCGCTCCCAGCCCATTTGGTGGGGACGAGGGAGAGGGCCTTCTCAGTGGTGGCCCCCTGCCTCTGGAATGCCCTCCCCAAGGAGGTAAGACTGGCCCCAACCCTCACTTCCTTCCGTAAGGGCATTTATAAATAACGTTTTATTATTATATTATTATTCAGCTTGGAAATTGAGATGAGCACCAGACCCAGAGCCAGAAATGAAAGGGGAAGCCTTTGCCTTTGTTTGTGTATTTGTGTTTCATTGTTCTAAGGCATTGAATGCTTGCCTATGTCTGTATATATGCTGGAATCCGCCCTCAGTCCCCTCGGAGAGATAGGGTGGAACACAAATAAAGTGTTGTTGTTGTTAAAGTATACCCTTATTCTTTGCATCTTGGAATCCAGGTTCCTGGACGAATACGCCCGTCACAACATCACCTTCTGGGCAGTCACAGCTCAGAACGAGCCGTCATCCTCGGTTTTCATTCCCATGAAGAATTTCCCCATGACCCAGTTTAGTCCGGAAACGCAACGGGATTTCATCATCATGGATCTGGGCCCTACATTGGCCGCCAGTCGCCATAAGGACGTCCTGCTCATCATTCACGATGACCAAAGGATCCACCTGCCTAATTGGGCCAATGTGGTAGGTGGTCAACCTGAGATCTTGACTGGGTTTACTAAAGATTGGTAGGATTGCCTAGTTTACAACTGACCTTACAACCTCTGAGGATGCCTGCCACAGATGTGGGTGAAATGTCACATCTGTGGCGTTACTTAGTTCAGCATTATCAGTCTAGAGATGGACTGATCTCTAGACGGAATGGTCATACTTCTGGAGCATGACCATCCAGCCTGGAAAACACATAGAGATGGACTGATCTCTAGACGGAATAGTCATGCTTCTGGAGCATGAGCATCCAGCCTGGAAAACTCATAGAGATGGAATGATCTCTAGGCGGAATGATCATGCTTCTGGAGCATGACCATCCAGCCTGGAAAACTCATAGAGATGGACTGATCTCTAGATGGAATGGTCATGCTTCTGGAGCATGACCACGCAGCCTGGAAAACTCATAGAGATGGACTGATCTCTAGATGGAATGGTCATGCTTCTGGAGCATGACCATCCAGCCTGGAGAACTCATAGAGATGGACTGATCTCTAGACTGAATGGTCATGCTTTTGGAGCATGACCATCCAGCCTGGAAAACTCATAGAGATGGACTGATCTCTAGACAGAATGGTCATGCTTCTGGAGCATGACCATCCATCCTGGAAAACTCATAGAGATGGACTGATCTCTAGATGGAATGGTCATGCTTCTGGAGCATGACCGTCCAGCCTGGAAAACTCATAGAGATGGACTGATCTCTAGACGGAATGGTCATGCTTCTGGAGCATGACCATTCAGCCTGGAAAACTCATAGCAACCCAATGATTCCAGCCATGAAAGCCTTCAAAACACAGTGTCTGTATTATGTTGGTCTTTACACATACTCTGTTTTTCCAGGTCATCGGGAACAGCAGTGCTGCCAAGTATGTGGCTGGCATTGGGATCCACTGGTACCTAGACAGTGTGACTCCTCCTGGACTCACCTTAGAGGCCACCCACCTCCTCTATCCCAACTTCTTCCTGCTCTACACCGAATCCTGTAATGGCTTCCGGATCTGGGAGCCCAGAGTTGACCTTGGGAGCTGGGAGCGAGGTGTCCGATACTCCCAAAACATCCTGACGGTAAAACCTCCCCCAGCTATATCTGAGGACTGGACCCAGCCTCGTTCCATTCCACCAGAGCTTTCTCCTGCTCCACTTTTGACAATCACACTGACACATTGGGATTTCCATTGTTCCTTACTTCTAAAATGTTATTTCCAAATAGTATGCTGAGAAATACTTATATAGAGCATTGTCCGTTGACTGCAAGATCCATTGGGGAAAGATGGTCAGATAGTGGTTTAGGACATGTTTTGCAGTGTGGTATCCATGTAGACATGTCCACTGGGCCTGGCCCCAGGGAGAAAATATAGAAAAGTGTCCTATGTGCAATCACACCATGGCCTACCAAGCTCAGTATCATCTCTAGACTGATAATGCTGAACTACGTAAGCCATGATCCAGTTCCAGCCTTGTGTGCCAAAGGTCCAGGTTTTGAACCTTGACATCTTCAGAGTCTAAAAGTTCAGAGGAGAATGTTTCATAGCCCTCTCTGGAAGCTAAAGTCTAGAAGTTCAGAGGAGGGCATGTACTAGCCCTCTTTGGGAGTTCAGAGGAGAATGGTTCATAGCCCTCTCTGGAAGCTAAAGTCTAGAAGTTCAGAGGAGGATGTTTCATAGTCATCTCTGGAAGCCGAGGAGTCTAAAAGTTCAGAGAAGGATGTTTCCTAGCCCTCTCTGGAAGTTTAGAGGAGGTTGTTTCACAGTCATCTCTGGAAGCTGAGGACTCTAGAAATTCAGAGGAAGATGTTTCATAGTCATCTCTGGAAGCTGGGAAGTCTAGAAATTCAGAGGAGGATGTTTCACAGTCATCTCTGGAAGCTGAGGAGTCTAGAAGTTCAGAGGAGGTTGTTTCACAGTCATCTCTGGAAGCTGAGGAGTCTAGAACTTCAGAGGAGGTTGTTTCACAGTCATCTCTGGAAGCTGAGAAGTCTAAAAGTTCAGAGGAGGTTGTTTCACAGTCATCTCTGGAAGCTGAGGAATCTAGAAGTTCAGAGGAGGTTGTTTCACAGTCATCTCTGGAAGCTGAGAAGTCTAAAAGTTCAGAGGAGGTTGTTTCACAGTCATCTCTGGAAGCTGAGAAGTCTAGAAGTTCAGAGGAGGATGTTTCACAGTCATCTCTGGAAGCTGAGGAGTCTAGAAGTTCAGAGGAAGATGTTTCACAGTCATCTCTGGAAGCTGAGGAGTCTAGAAGTTCAGAGGAAGATGTTTCATAGTCATCTCTGGAAGCTGAGATGTCTAGAAGTTCAGAAGAGGTTGTTTCACAGTCATCTCTGGAAGCTGAGGACTCTAGAAGTTCAGAGGAGGGTGTTTCATAGTCATCTCTGGAAGATGAGGAGTCTAAAAGTTCAGAGGAGGATATTTCATACTCATTTCTGGAAGCTGAGGAGTCTAGTAGTTCAGAGGAGGATATTTCATACTCATTTCTGGAAGCTGAGGAGTCTAGAAGTTCAGAGGAGGATGTTTCACAGTCATCTCTGAAAGCTGGGAAGTCTAGAAGTTCAGAGGAGGTTGTTTCACAGTCATCTCTGAAAGCTGAGAAGTCTAGAAGTTCAGAGGAGGATGTTTCATAGTCATCTCTGGAAGCCGAAGAGTCTAGTAGTTCAGAGGAGGATATTTCATACTCATTTCTGGATGCTGAGGAGTCTAGAACTTCAGAGGAGGATGTTTCATAGCCCTCTCTGGAAGCTCAAGAGTCTAGACTCTAGACGTTCAGAGGAGAATGTTTCATAGCCAAGGAGTCTATAAGTCCAGAGAAATATGATTGGATTGAAAATATTACCAGACAGAAAGCTGGCAGTGAGGGACGATAGTCCGCTCTTCAATAACATTTCAGAGGGTCACAGTTTTGCACAGAGCTTAAAGCTTCCTAAACGCCATTCAAACATCTAGTACTTCCGATTTTGGGCCCCCTCTTTTCTAGTCCTTCCACACTCAGGAACTCTAGTTAACGTGGCCAATAGTGAAGGCTTTGGGGAGATGTTGTCTAGCAATATCATTACCGCTTGGGCCAACCATTGCCCTTTGACTCCTGTAGAACCTCAACAGCTTTATTGTGGGTTGGATTGACTGGAACCTGGTTCTGGATATGGAAGGGGGACCCAACTATGTGAAGAACCACGTGGACAGCCCGATCATCGTGAATCCCCTCCGAGACGAGTTCTACAAGCAGCCCATGTTCTACCACTTGGCTCACTTCAGGTAAGCCAGGATCTATGGGATCTTGGGATGTGTATTTTGGGAAACCTTTGGCCCTCTGAGATGTTTTAGCCTACATATCAGCCCCACATATTTAGTATGTAGGAGCTGTAGTCCAACATATTAGGCATGAAGAAGACCTCCAGCCCTTGGCATATTCGATTGGTATTGAGCTAGAATTTGGAGGCTCCTGCCCAGGGGAGAGGAGCCCTTAGACCTACCAAAGAGAGTCTGAAACCCTTGGCAAGCGAAAGAGGAGAAAGGCCCAGAATTTTCCCTGATTTTTCCCAAATAAATCTCACCAAGGTTGAAGAAATGGCCACCGAGGCTTTTATTAGCAATTCAGCTGAAAATGATGCAGAGCCGCAATCATTCGCCAGCAGAGCATAAGGAAATACACCAATACAGTCATATTTATAGCAAATTCAAAGTTGTAGAGTTCAAACTTCCCGACCCAGCTTCCCTGACATTCCCCGCCGTGATTGGGCGACGGGCGAACAGCTGGGAGGAGGCCCTCCCGCCCCCTGGGCTTCAGGACCAATCAGGAAGCTTCAGCAGTGCGTTGGATCCAATGGGAAGGCTCCTGTCGCCTAGCGGCGACAGCGAATCAGGGGAGAGGGAGGCGGGACGAGAGAACACAAAGGAATCTGTGAATGAGTTTTGAAAAAATAATGCCATGTGGCTTGCGAGACAAAAAAGGAAGTCTCAAGCAGGGCTGTTCTATTGTGTTTTGATTGGAATGAATCAACATGTGTATAGGAAAATCCAGCCAGCAAACATGAGGACAATGAGGGCGAACTGGGGTGAATGTTCCTTAGTGGGAAGTTAGTTAAATCATCCAGTGTGAAGGTGGGGTCTTTTCGAAGGTCCTCTGACCTCCAGGTAAAAAAATGATGAAAGTTTTAATATGTGTCCATAGTTCATAAGGGTAGAAATTCATAAGGGTTTGTCCTTGTAGAGGAAGGGAAATGTTTGTGGGGAATGATAAAAGCATAAAATTCATAAGAGAAAGTCTTAGAGGTTCCACTGAGCCAGCTAAGGGAGACCCACCACATTGAGATCAATTCTGGTCCTTTGTCCTTGGAAAACTGTAACTCTTTCCAAGGGCTGGAGCCCAGGGACCAATCTGCTCCCTGAAAGCCTCCTGGGGTCTTTGTTGTTGTTAGTGTCTTGGCAAATTGACCAAGACTTAACCCCTATTGTGCAGTCTGGTGCCCTTGCCCTTTGCAGAACTATAAGTTACAATCCCCTTTTGGGGGGGGGATGCTCGGCTTCAGGATGATTGCATCTTAGGTGGTAATCTGTTTCTATGCTGAGTGTGACAACTTTTCTCTTTTCTTTCCCAGCAAATTCATCCCTGAAGGCTCCATCCGGGTTGCCTTGACCAGCAATTTTGAAATTACCAGCTGCCAATTGCATAGTTCTGGCTTCCTACGTCCGGACAAGGTTGCCGTAGTAGTTGTGCTTAACAAGTGAGTAAGACAGATTGATAAGGGAAGCTACGACATCTTGTAAGCTCTCCACACCTGGAAATATATGGTCGCTTAATGGCACAAAATTTTCCTTTCCTTCAGGTGCTCCTGGGATGTGGATTTCAGCATCGCCGATGACCAACTCGGATACATTGAGGACATTGCTCCAGCCCAATCCATCCAAACCTACCTTTGGAAGAGGCGATGATACTAAATGATGGCTTCCCATCAAATCGGGATCCGGTTATGCCTAGAAGAAGAAAGACACCTTCTCCATGCCATGAAGATGGCCTGGATGGACAGAGGAGAGTGCTACATTGCTGTCTAACTCAGTGTTTCTCAACCTTCCTAATGACAGCACATTGCTTAAGTTGAATTGACCGACTGTCTACACAGGGTTCCATACTTTGCACTTTAACAACACAACCGCTCAATGCTAAGGCTTCCCGCCAAAATGGAACTGTAGAGGAGAGTCTACTGAACAAGCCAGTACCTGCCGCACACCAGTACGGCCATCTGTTGAGGAGTTACGAAGGTGGAGGCATTACTTTTATTCAACCCTCATATGATGATGAATTAGTGCTGCCACTTCATATTTTTCATCTGACAGCACATTGCTTAAGTCGAATTGACCGACTGTCTGCGCAGGGTTCCATACTTTACACTTAAACAACACAGCCATTTAATTCTAAGGCTTCCTGCCAAATGGAACTGTAGAGGAGAATCTACTGAACAAGCCAGTATCTCCCGCATACCAGTACTGCCATCTGTTGAGGAGTTACGAAGGTAGAGGCATTACTTTTCATTCAACCCTCGTATTTGAGAACATAGATTCAGACCTAGACTTCAAACAGAGAAGCAGTGAGAACTCAAGCCTTTGGAAGGAAAAATCTCTGTTTCCATCGCACTACCTAGTGTAATCATATCAGACCTGAATGGCATTGGAAAAATTTCAGTTTCCAGGTCGGACTGTGACATCGCTTTGGGTTTCTCTCCCACACTTAAACAACACAACCGTCCAATGCTAAGGCTTCCCGCCAAAATGGAACTGTAGAGGAGAGCCTACTGAACAAGCCAGTACCTGCTGCATACCAGTACTGCCATCTGTTGAGGAGTTATGAAGGTGGAGGCATTACTTTTCACTTTAACAACACAACCGTTCAATGCTAAGGCTTCCCGCCAAAATGGAACTGTAGAGGAGAGTCTACTGAACAAGCCAGTACCTGCCGCATACCAGTCCTGCCATCTGTTGAGGAGTTACGAAGGGGGAGGCATTACTTTTCACTTTAACAACACATCCGTTCAATGCTATGGCTTCCTGCCAAATTGGAACTGTAGAGGAGATTCTACTGAACAAGCCAGTACCTGCCACATACCAGTACTGCCATCTGTTGAGGAGTTACGAAGGTGGAGGCATTACTTTTCATTCAACCCTCGTAATCAATGCTAAGGCTTCCCGCCAAAATGGAACTGTAGAGGAGAGTCTACTGAACAAGCCAGTACCTGCTGCATACCAGTACTGCCATCTGTTGAGGAGTTACGAAGGTGGAGGCATTACTTTTTACTTTAACAACTCAACCGTTCGATGCTAAGGCTTCCTGCCAAAATGGAACTGTAGGGGAGAGTCTACTGAACAAGCCAGTACCTGCCGCATACCAGTACTGCCATCTGTTGAGGAGTTACGATGGTGGAGGTATTACTTTTCATTCAACTCTCGTATATTCCGCTCTGTTTGCGGAATATACGGATTTGCGGATTCCAACAAACAAACACACAAAGGTAAACATTCAAGGCCTTAAGACAATAAACATAACTACATTAAGCGACCCAACCCGAATCCCAAAATTACCCGACATCAAACAACAAATTGTAAACACGGGACCGAAAATTACATAAACAATTAAACAATTAAAATTATCTTGACATAAGAAACATGAACATCCATCAACAGGATGAAGAGGAACAGGAAGAAGAAAAGAGAAGGAAGAAATAGGAGGAAACAGAAGATGGAGGAGGAGGAGAGGATGAAGGGGAACAAGGAGAAGGAGAAGAAGAGAAGGAGAAAGAAAACAGAGGAGGAGGAGGAGTGGATGAAGGGGAACAAGGAGGAGAAGGAGAAATTGTCACTCCAATTTCCCTGCATGAAGAGCTTTTGCTCGTAAACTTCCTCCTTAATCACATCGTCACCATTTTTATGGCATTTCCTGATGGGTGCCTTAAATATCTCTCTGCTTTAAGTGGTACCCATTTATCTATTCACATTGCTGTTTTCGAAATTGCTAGGTAGGCAGAAGCTGGGCTAAAGACCCTGGCTTTGAACTGTCAACCTTTCGGTTGGCATGATTTAGTGCAGCTGGCGGATAACCAGAGACTTCCGAATCCTTTTGATAATGGTTTGAAAGTGTTATTTCCTGTTTCATTGAGTGGTTTTTACTTTGAAAGTAGTTGTTTTACTCCAGAAGCAGGGGAAAGCAAGCAGAGGAAATTCCTTCCTTCTCTGGTTTGAAACTGGCTTCTCTGGCTTGAGCCGAAGCCAGGAAATTCCCTCCTTCTCTGGTTTGAAAATGGCTTCTCTGGCTTGAGCCGAAGCCAGGAAATTCCCTCCTTCTCTGGTTTGAAAATGGCTTCTCTGGCTTGAGCCGAAGCCAGGAAATTCCCTCCTTCTCTGGTTTGAAAATGGCTTCTCTGGCTTGAGCCGGGGGAAAACAAGCGGAGGAAATTCCTTCCTTCTCTGGTTTATAACTGGCTTTTCTAGCTTGAGCTAAGGCCAGTAAATTCCTTCCTTTTCTGGTTTAAAACTGGCTTCTCTAGCTCAAGCCAATGCCAGGAAATTCCTTCCTTCTCTGGTTTAAAACTGGCTTCTCTAGCTTGAGCCAATGCCAGGAAATTCCTTCCTTCTCTGGTTTAAACCTGGCTTCTCTGACTTGAGCCAATGCCAGGAAATTCCTTCCTTCTCTGGTTTAAAACTGGCTTCTCTGACTTGAGCCAATCCCAGGAAATTCCTTCCTTCTCTGGTTTAAAACTGGCTTCTCTGGCTTGAGCCAATCCCAGGAAATTCCTTCCTTCTCTGGTTTAAACCTGGCTTCTCTAGCTTGAGCCAATGCCAGGAAATTCCTTCCTTCTCTGGTTTAAACCTGGCTTCTCTGACTTGAGCCAAGGCCAGGAAATTTCTTCCTTCTCTGGTTTAAAACTGGCTTCTCTGGCTTGAGCCAATCCCAGGAAATTCCTTCCTTCTCTGGTTTAAAACTGGCTTCTCTGGCTTGAGCCGAGGCCAGGAAATTCCTTCCTTCTCTGGTTTAAAACTGTCTTCTCTGACTTGAGCCAATGCCAGGAAATACCTTCCTTCTCTGGTTTAAAACTGGCTTCTCTAGCTTGAGCTGAGGCCAGGGATGAGAAGCGGGGGAAAACAAGCGGAGGAAATTCCTTCCTTCTCTGGTTTAAAACTGGCTTCTCTGGCTTGAGCCGAGGCGAAGAAATTCCTTCCTTTTCTGGTTTAAAACTGGCTTCTCTGGCTTGAGTCAATGCCAGGAAATTCCTTCCTTTTCTGGTTTAAAACTGGCTTCTCTGGCTTGAGTCGAAGCCAGGAAATTCCTTCCTTTTCTGGTTTAAAACTGGCTTCTCTGGCTTGAGCTGAGGCCAGGAAATTCCTTCCTTCTCTGGTTTAAAACTGGCTTCTCTGACTTGAGCCGAGGCCAGGAAATTCCTTCCTTCTCTGGTTTAAAACTGGCTTCTCTAGCTTGAACTGAGGCCAGGGACCAGAAGCGGGGAAACGCAAGCGGAGGAAATTCCTTCCTTCTCTGGTTTAAAACTGGCTTCTCTGGCTTGAGCTGAGGCCAGGAACCAGAAGCGGGGAAACGCAAGCGGAGGAAATTCCTTCCTTCTCTGGTGTAAAACTGGCTTCTCTAGCTTGAGCTGAGGCCAGGGACCAGAAGTGGGGAAAAGCAAGCAGAGGAAATTCCTTTCTCTCTGGTTTAAAACTGGCTTCTCTGGCTTGAGCCGAGGCCAGGAAAATCCTTCCTTTTCTGGTTTAAAACTGGCTTCTCTAGCTTGAGCCGAGGACAGGTAATTCCTTCCTTCTCTGGTTTAAAACTGTCTTCTCTGACTTGAGCCAATGCCAGGAAATACCTTCCTTCTCTGGTTTAAAACTGGCTTCTCTAGCTTGAGCTGAGGCCAAGTGGAGTAAATTCCTTCCTTCTCTGGTTTAAAACTGGCTTCTCTGGCTTGAGCCGAGGCCAGGAAATTCCTTCCTTTTCTGGTTTAAAACTGGCTTCTCTTGCTTGAGTAGCCAAGGCCAGGAAATTCCTTCCTTCTGGGTTTAAAACTGGCTTCTCTGGCTTGAGCCAAGGCCAGGAAATTCCTTCCTTCTCTGGTTTAAAACTGGGTTCTCTGGCTTGAGCCGAGGCCAGGAAATTCCTTCCTTCTCTGGTTTAAAACTGGCTTCTCTGGCTTGAGCCGAGGCCAGGAAATTCCTTCCTTCTCTGGTTTAAAACTGGCTTCTCTGGCTTGAGCTGAGGCCAGGAACCAGAAGCGGGGAAACGCAAGCGGAGGAAATTCCTTCCTTCTCTGGTTTAAAACTGGCTTCTCTGGCTTGAGCTGAGGCCAGGAACCAGAAGCGGGGAAACGCAAGTGGAGGAAATTCCTTCCTTCTCTGGTTTAAAACTGGCTTCTCTGGCTTGAGCCGAGGCCAGGAAATTCCTTCCTTCTCTGGTTTAAAACTGGCTTCTCTTGCTTGAGCTGAGGCCAGGAAATTCCTTCCTTCTCTGGTTTAAAACTGGCTTCTCTGGCTTGAGCTGAGGCCAGGAACCAGAAGCGGGGAAACGCAAGTGGAGGAAATTCCTTCCTTCTCTGGTTTAAAACTGGCTTCTCTGGCTTGAGCTGAGGCCAGGAACCAGAAGCGGGGAAACGCAAGTGGAGGAAATTCGCATGATGTGTTCTGCATACAAGTTAAAAAGGTTGGGTGAGAGGATGCAGCCTTGCCGTACGCCTTTCCCAATCTGAACCAGTCTGTTGTTCCGTGGTCAGTTCTGACTGTTGCTACTTGGTCCTTGTACAGATTCCTCAGGAGAGAGGGAAGGGGGCTTGGGATGCCCACCCCACCAAGAACTTGCCACAATTTATTATGATCCACACAGTCAAAGGCTTTAGAATAGTCAATGAAGCAGAAAAAGGTGTTTTTCTGAAACTCCCTGCCTTTCTCCATTATCCAGCATCCGGATATTGGCAATCTGGTCTCTCGTTCCTCTGCCTTTTCTAAACCCAGCTTGAACA